TGGAACATCAGCCCAAACCCACAATAGATGGGTCGGATGGGCTAATTACTATGTTGATGCACAATAAACAGCTCATTTGGGCCTGGGCTGGAACATTAGCCCAAACCCACAATAGATGGGCCGGATTTGGCCCTGCCCAGAAAGGGTGGGCCAGGTCTTGGCCTGGTTTTTTTAAAAAAAGAAAAATTCACAATTATTTTTTTAAAATTTTATAATTTTTTCGCGTAGTTTTTATATCATTTTGATTAATATCGTGCAGTATTTTTTTGTCGTACAAATACAAAATCCGATATTAAAATACTCAGTTTTTGTCAAAACTTCAAAAAAAATACAAAAAAAATAAAAAAAGAAATATTTTTATATATACGGCTAAATGTCTCAAAGCTAAAAAATTATATTGTGTTTTTCATACTTAAAAAAAAGTTTTAGCATGCCTTTTGGATTTAATAATCAATTTATTAAAATCAAGAGAATATTGGATAAAATTACAAAAACAACAAAAATTTTATTTTGTTTGTCTTTTAGTATTCGGGGTATGATATTACATGTAATACGTATTCTAGATATTAAATTCTTTTTTCGAACACTAAAACGGTTAGATTCTACGTCTTTTAGTATTCGGGGTATGATATTACATGTAATACGTATTCTAGATATTAAATTCTTTTTTCGGACACTAAAACGATTAGATTCTATCTTATTAAGATAAGAACATCCTTATAAAGAAAGAATTTTCTTAAACCTTAAATAGATCAGTAATTAGAAACAACAATCAAACCTTAGATTTTATTAAACATTAAAAAAATACAATTTAATATAAATATAACGGGTTTGAGGTGCTGATATGTTTTTTTTATGCGACTAAATTTTGTATCTAATTTCTAAAATCAGTTAAAATTTCTAATAACTAGAATATAAAATGATGATTTCTATTTTATTTTATTGGTGAAATATAAAATTTTTTTGTCTTTTTATATTTACAAGTCACACGATATTTTTTTTAATAAATAATCATTGCAAATCCGCGCACTATGATAAGTGCCGAGCAAAACAATTAATCAATCCCATTTTCCTTTGCGTTGACATGGCATACCGTATAAGCCATGGCTAATGTACTTCAATGGAAAGGATGTCGGTGGTTAATTACATTAAGTAACCTTACCACAAAAAGAAATAACTGCTTTGTGCGTGCGACGCAAGAGATACGTCCTTTGAATATCAACAGCTTGTGTACGGAATTTTGCTTCTGTCTACCATTTATTGCATCCATGATTTTTTTTTTAATAAAAAACAATTAGCATGGTTCGAAACAGGTCCTTGTTAATTAACACGGGAAGAAAAAGTTTTTGATGGTACTACGGTTTTTTTCCTGTAAAATTCTGATGTTGTTTTTATATTTTAAAAAAAATTAAAATATTTTATTTAAAATTAATATATTTTTAATATTTTTAAATTATTTTAATATGCTAATATTAAAAATATTTTTTAAAAAAATAAAAAATATATATTATTTTAATATATTTTTGAGTGAAAAATATTTTAAAAAGTAACCATGATCTCAAATAAACTTTAAATTTATGCTGTTTTTGATAATACTATAATTATTATTATTATAGATTTAGATTTGGTATGCTTCCCATTCTATTTCTTTTCTTTTTTTATCTCTCTCTTTTTAAAAAATTTATTCCCAGCCCATTTTAATAATTTTCTTTAGAAGTCATTATTCTTAATTGCGCTAAATGTACCAAACTGTATTATTAAACCAAAAATAAATTTAAATATATTATTTTACAAAAGCTTTTTTCAAACCATGTCTTGGAGCATTCACATTCATACTACCCAAACTCTCAATCCTTAGCTATAATAACCAGCGGAAGGCATTGCTGCTCAACAGGCTATTCCAGCAAAATAAACAGTACTAGTTTTATATACATGCAACGAGGTGGGTTATTTATTTATTGTTTTTTTTTTAAATGGCAGATTAGGGCTTAATTGATTATTTTCATTTTATTTTTTTGAAAATGCATGGTGTACTGGGTAACTTTCATGCACTAGGCTAAATTCCTGCGACCTGAAACTAGCTTTTACACAGCTCTTATCCTATGACCTGGAGCTCCAAGAGTTTTAATGCCTATTAAATTAAATAATTTATTTTAAATTAATTTTTATATAATTTAATTTAAAATTCAAGCTAGATAAAAAGTTGATAGATTTTAACATCAAATTGTTTGATTAATTTAATAATATTATTAAAAAAAATATACTCATTATTTTTAATTTTTTTAAAAAATAACCCAATTAATAGCGGAATAAATATGAATTAAGTTGACAATTTTTATTATTTTAGAACATTTTGTGAAATGGGAATAACAATGGCTATTAACCTTGATTAATCATGGTTTAGACAGGATGAAATTATTATATTATTTTAAATAAACTTTGATTTTTGCCCTAGATTCTTTAATGTTCTACTTCTAGTTAAATCTTTCAATGATGCCCTTCTAATTTTCTAAGAGTTCCAATATTATTCTAACCATTTTATCATTAAATAGCCTACTATATAAATTTGGTTGGAGCTTTAATACAGATCTTGAAATATTTCTGTGATCAGGATATTGTAGCATACATGTGGACTTGAGAGAAAAGTAAGAAAAAATATATATAATAAAAACATGAAAAAAAAAGATTTTTTATAAGTTAATTAGTAGAAATTAAAGGGAAGGTTTGGAACTTTTTGAAAACTATAAGGATAACATTGAAATTTAAAGTACAATAATAGAAATGGAATATCGATATTGTTCTATTAATTAAGTACTAGTATTTACCTATTTTATCATTGCTTTCTCTAATACATTATCATCTTGAAAAAAATAGAGTATATTTTAAATGGAATTTTAATGTTGTTCTATTTGTTATTTATTGTGTGTGTGTGTGATAGAGTATATTTTAAATGGAATTTTAATGTTGTTCTATTAGTTATTTATTGTGTGTGTCTATATATATATATAACCAGAAGTGAGAAATTATAGTTAAAAATATTTTTATTAATTTTAGTGTATCATAAGTTTTATTTTTTATTTTTATATAAAAAATAATTAAAAAGAGGAGCACCATGAAATTTGCCCACTTTCTCCCCGATGTTTAACAATCACCATAGATTTTTGCGATGACTATCTGCTCCCTCTATCTCTATTCGCCAGACTCTGACACCCTTCACTTCGAAACCATACCATAGATTTTTGCGATAACTAACTGCTCCCTCTATCTCTATTCGCCAGACTGTGACACCCTTGACTTCGAAGTGCAAATGTGTAAGAGGGAGGGAATATTTTGTGTTTTTACAGGGTTGGTGCTTGGATATGCTTGTGAGAAGTTGTTTGTTTACATATGGAAGATAAATCAATGTAGGGTTTGATCATGGGTGGTGCCTGTTGGGATAACGAAGACGTGGATGACAAGTTCTTCTTGTTCAGTCATGTTCATGCAGTAAATGTGAAAATGTCTTCTCAGTTCTCTCTGTATTGTAAGTATGGCGATTGGTTGTGATAAGATCTGATTTATTCCACGCGCTTGAAAGCTAAGCCGAGACTGAGATAATATTATTAATTTTTTATTTTTATCAAGTAAATATACTTGCGGTGTAGCAGAGAAAAATGGAACATTATCAGGAAGGAGTGGTGCTGTTTTTTCTTGTTAGCTATTCTCATCGTCCCCGTTAATTGTTCGAGAGTAAGCATAACGTTCCTTTTTTTATAATCTCGAGACAATAGTTAAATATGAAAGATTTTGTGTTATTTAAATAGTAATTAGTAGTTTTTTATTAGTTATTAGTTACGTTTTGATCTCATTAATTATGTAATGTCATTAAAACATGTTGTTAGCAACGTCCAGAATAAAAATTTCTTCCCTGCAACGAAATTACAGCGGCCCTTCTTCTACTCTCTCACGGCGCATCCGGCCAGCAACCGCCCCTCTCACTTCGCCCAGTCCCGAAATATTACATTCTAAATGGAATAGAAAATGTTATATTTTAACATTGGTTATTAACTAGTATTTCTTGCTGCAGTTATTTTGATATTTTCCAGGGATGAAATAGAAAGTTGCGCATTTTCAATTTCACATCTCACAAAAAGTGTCACTTCCCTTGATTTTTTTTTTTGGCTGAGATGCAACACAAAATTGTTATAACAATATGTTTGAAAATTTGTTTTTTAAAATAATATTTATTTAAAAATATATTAAAATAATATTTATTTTTATAAATTATTTTTAATTAAATATATTAATTTACTTTATTATTCATATATAAAGAGTAAAATACCATTAAAAAAACCCCAATTGCTTTAGATGAATAGTATAATGTTGATAGTATATAACACATAGATTTCTTTATTTCCTTTTAAATACATTAAATTAACATAAATAATATTATTTATTCTTCAAATCGTTCAATTAATGCACACACTTGCATCAATTAAAAAATATCAACCCTATTATTTTACATTAATTATTAATAATTACATCATAAACCCAACTTAAATATAAAAATTTAACCATCAAAATTAAAAATAATATTTTTAGTTAGACTCAAAAATAATTTTTCTTATTTACATCGATTTTTTCTTATCCTATGTTTATCTCTCTCGTATAAAATAATAATAAACATCAATTTTCTTTTATTCTATGTTTATCTCTCTTGTATAAAATAATAATTATTATTATTTACTCCTTGAATATTATAAGATTAAGAAATTTAATTTTCAGGAATTAATTAAAATAAATATGATTTGTAATTACTAATTTCCCTATACTTTATCTTTTCCACATAAATGAAGAATCAATGGGACCATCTCCCTCATTTTCCAATTAAGAATGGACCGAGCCCAGTGTAGCTCACTACAATGGGCTTCATGTTATTGGTCCTGCCCCCAACTTGAAGCTTTCGGCCCAATAACACTTAAAGAAAACGAAAACGAGTTTCTAAACGGATAAGACAACAAATCGGAGGAAGCCAACTGAAATCGAGGGGCCGTGCGCTGCCCATGCCAAAGCCAATGCCATGAGCATGGAGGTTGTACTTGCTCGCTCTCCATTTCCCCGTTTCTCTCTTCCTAACACCAACCTAAAAACCACTCTCAGCTCCTCTAACTCCCAGGTACTCTTGTCACTGCACTACAATCTACCCATCCAGAAATACTTTTTTTTGATCGAAAAAGAAAAATCAAAGCGATTAAATTGCAATGATTTTCGCAGGTTCTGTTATGGAGATCCCCGTTGATGAACGTACAGTTAAATCACTACTACAGCAGAAAGCGTAGGGGCTGCATTAATGGTGGCGGAGCTTCTAGACGCAGCCTTTGGCCTCAGTTTTCGAGTAGCTATGATCGATGCAATCTCACGTTTGGGAAGTGTATTAGCAGGCTCCAAGAATTTATGAATTCTTCAGAAAAAATGAGAAAACATGTTTCTTCTACTCTTTTCACCCGGTTGGTTGTTTCAGTGTTGATGGTTTCTTTCGCCGTCAGCAATTCACCCTCCTGTGAGTTCTCAATTTCTATGCCAAAAACACGTGGAGGTAGTGCTAAATCATGTTTGGAGACTGGTTGTTTAATTTCTGTTGTTGTTTAGGGGCTCTGAGCGAAGAAAACCTTCTCTTCTTAGAGGCTTGGAGGACGATTGACCGTGCTTTTGTTGATAAAACGTTCAATGGACAAAGTTGGTTTCGGTACAGAGAAAATGCTTTGCGCAATGAACCGATGAACACGCGCGAAGAGACATGTATGGTCCTATTCCTTAAAAGCATCCATTCTTCTCTTTTTCGTGGTTAAGTGCTTCTCACCGGGCTAGATTTAGATTGAATTATCTGTGACTACGTGCATGTTGAAAGATAAGAGATTTCAGCTATTCCGTACTTCAGAACCATTGGCAGTAAAATTAGTTGATGAATATAGTTTCTGACTGCAGGTTTGAGAAAGAAAGAAAAAAAAAAAAAAGTT